AACGGTTCTACAGTAGTTAATCACTGGGATTTGATTGGTTCTCCTAAAACTGCTTACAAATTTGTCATGTCAAGTGTGAAACATTTACTTGATAATACAACCAGATTTCCCTTGCGCCCTAACCAGCACGCGGCGGAGTGAAATCTTCTAATGTTCAATAAGACATGAACATCTAAGGTGCTACAGGGCCCCGCCAGTCATTAATAACTTTAATACAAGCTAATAATGTGCAAAAGAAAATTATTTAACTAGCTATCTCAACGCCTTCTCTGACAATAGAATCATTTCCACTGTTTATCAAATCTGAATTTCAAATATCACCGTGTTGCCCCGCAGTGGCTGAGCACGCGGCGGTGATGACCCTCACTGATTGGCTGGGCATTCACCAACTCGAAATTGACGGCCGCCAGGCAACAAAATAATTCTTGAGGCAAATTTCTCGAAAGAAGCCACGGCAATGAATTCTAATTAAGCGGATAACAGTCTGCAAATAAAGTAATTAGTACAATACAAGTAGTAGCGTTTTATTACACTTGGTGAGCTCTACAGTCGTCCCGTGAGCCAGTGCCGTAAACAGTGTATTAGGAAAGGATGGCAGTCTAGAGTCGGAAACATCCCTTTGATTAAATCAGGATACGGGGACTTGACCCTACGTCGGTTAGGCAATAGGTAACAATGAGTTTCTGTTTATATATACTTTTATCAGATAATTTGATTTCCAAAAGAGATCTTATTGCAACAAAATCTGTTCCAGAAATGGTTGACTGGTTACTGTCTCAAATGTATATTTTTCCGATTAATACTGACCCATAACTACACTATGGAATGGATGAGGTTAATGCTGCTATGTGACAGTTTTTTTAATTCTAAAAAAAAATAAAACATGAAAGTCATTAATAACGTCAGTAGAATTATGCCAAACCCTCCAAATGTGAAGGCATCTTCTGCTCCATCGTGTAAAGATGGGTCAAATCAAAGTTTGCGTTCTTAGGTTATGAAATATGGATGTGACAAAGCAATCACCAGGCCTACTAATGAACAGGTATATTTCACAATGAGATGATAACGATGACCATCAGTCTCTCCGTTTTTATAGTCATCATCAACTTGTCGAAACTCTGTGCTTTAAAGATTTCGACATTCATTATGGAAATCGAAATATTGGGAACAAGTTCTGTAATATCCTATCAACTGAGCGAGAACTAGGAATGCTGCTATCGAGAAATGCAAAATTCATATATGAAATTTAAATCATCACGATCATCGAATATGAAGTAGCCGATGAAAATAGGTCTTGAATGACGCCTGCGATTTCTAGCCCAGGGGGCTTCTTACCATTGACATCGCCAACACAGACCATTTTCTTGACAACACTTAGGTAAGATATCTGAGTATTAAACTGGACGACTTGGCAGTTTTTGTTTTTAACCCCGTACGAATCCACAACCATTGACCTGATATGCCAGTGATCTGTTGGAAAAAACCCTGCTTTCAAATTCGATAGAGATTTTGTCATATTATATCCCATCACTCGCACGATTCCATCACAGTATGTATGCATAGGATCCAGTATACTTCATGGTCTTATAACAAGCTGTATCTCCTATAAATGATTGCCCTCATATGAGTTAAGAGTAGAGTGTCTTACTTTACTCAACAGAGAGGTGTTTTATAGAACAGATGTTTAAAACTGACCAAAACCTTTCTTGAGATCTTTCAAAACCACAGTAAATAATTCCACTAAGTGAGTAGCATGCCGTTATACGACTTCAACCGGGATAGCATGATATGTTAGACCAAGACTAGGTGTAAAGGGCTAAGATAAAGACTAGGGTGAGCAGTAAGCCAGCTCTGTGATAGGATTATTATGGGTGTTAATATATGGTAATGGAGAGAAGTTTTGTTTACGGCGACTTTCCTTAGATGTCTTCTTTGTGACCATACTGAAGTTCTTATTGATTATCTCTCAGATGTTGAACCACAGGGAAAATATTAATAAATTTACGTTGGAATCAATGGGATTATATTTATAGTACTAAAGTCTGTCGAATGTTTTTTTTTTTTTTGGGGGGGGGGGGTTGTGTGTGTGTTTTTTTTTTTTTTTTACATTCTGTGGGTACCAGAAAGTCTAATATGTTCTTCGAAATAAGTTAAGTGTAAGATTTATAAGGGCAGGGTCACTTTACAGCATATTACATGATGAAATAAAATAACTAGTATGATCCGAGACGTTGCAAAATCTGTATAACCCTTTTGTGTATGCTACGTCCGTGATGCAACATATAAAGAGAAGTTGATGGTTTGTTTAAAATACACTATTTTACAATTACATTTACACGAAGTATACAATCAATGTATTTTTCCTCTGTATTCGCTACTTGTGATACAGAAAATAACGTTCGTGTGGCATTTATATATGATCGCGAACGGGGAGTTTAAGACTATTATGATAAATTTATTTGTAGTCCACAGTTTGACGAGAAAACATTAAAATTGGAATATCTTGAATATAACAATGTATTGCTGAATTCAATAAACAAATTCTACTGAGAAAGATATTGAGCTTGTACAAATCAAATTAAAACTAATGAAAATATCCAAAAACTAATGGACATCTCATAACATGACGAGATCTTTATAAGTTCGTGGTTTGTAGGTGATTTTTCCAGCCTATTTAATTTTTCGCTGTGATGGAATGTTTCCTATCGATTATTTCACAATGCCCGTTTGTACTTTTAAGATTGTTTAACATATCAGGACTTATATTTTAAATCTGACACTATAGTTCCCTTAACTGCGGAAAAGTACTGACAAGTTACTATCCTTCTAAATGTATCTTTAAACATTCTTTGGTAAAAAACAACAAGAAAATACTAACATGTCAACAGAATCTTAATTAAAATTCAAAATGCGATCAAACTGGGAAAAATATAAGCAAAAAGAAGATTTCCGCGGAAACTTATGAAAAATTAGAAGAAAAATAAGATCAGATGTTGTGGAAGGGTAAGCGTTTTCAATATATCATCAAGAAGCATTTTGTGTTAGTGTGTAGCAAATTATTCATATGACTGTTTGACTAAATATTGCATTTATTTATTGGATACGGAGACGAAGAGACAGTCGTTTAAATGACGAACAGAGTCTGCGCCTATAGTAACTCGTTCAGGAATATGTGAAAGTTCCGATGGTTTAGAGTTCAAGTACTTTACATAACACCCCATCCCCCGATAAACATTTGTTTTTAACAAAAGCCTATAATGATAAAACTTGTACAAGGTGTTGACAACATCAAAGTTCGTCGTAAGCTGTGAAGATAATATATTTGTTCTTATATATTCTAATTTATTGTAGTTGTGTGTGGTATATTGTGGTTTAAGTATATACAGAGAAAAAAAAAAGATGCCTAAAATATGTTTGCTCTCAAATCAAAAGTTTACATAATTATTCTGTTTCATCATCGCTTACCAAAGACTAGGATCCGAAACTTTGTCTTTATCATATAGAATGTACAGTAGAATAGATAAAATAACCATAATGATAACGAATCTATTTCGTTTCTTGTGAAAATATTTGAACGTTCACATCAACATCACTATATTCGACCAAAGAACACATACCGGTAAATTGACATAAATTAATGTAAAACGACATTACAAGAGTCTAGCAGAACTTCATGCGAATCAGGCAGGTTGATACGCGATTTAAAATTCAGTCAATGTCCCGAGTGAGTGAAGTGAGTTAAATCCTCTGAGAAATTCCTTCAGTAAATTGCTGCTGACATTGATACAATCTCAATGCAAAGCAGACTAGCATAAATCTGAAATCATACTCATTTATTATCAACATGTCCATAGTTCAGTGACAATTCCAACAGTGAGAAGGCAAATGGACAAGTTTTGTTTCGTAATATAAGAGAGATAACTCTTACTCCTTGGATAATGGTAACATTATGTATTGTAAACATCTGTACCTATGTGCCTATGCATAGATCATATAGACATATATTATTTCTCCACTGTTTTCTAAATCACAAAATCAGTTAACAAGACTAAGCCATATAATTCCAATCATTTAGCTACATTTGTTCCTGATTAAATCCAATCCATCTTGCTTGATCCTAGCGAGGATGGTTGGAGGGTTGCAGATTTTTTTGTTTTCTTTCCCTCAAAGATTTTTTTTCTTTCTTATTATAGACTTACATTAAGTCCGTAATTTGTACCGCGCGGAAATTTCACTAACAGTTCACATGTATTCAATGAAGACATTCGAAGTTAAACGAGATCAATCATAGTGGTCATTATTTATCTTATTTCCGTCTCTTTGCCTCCGTATATTTGATGTTACAATTCAGCCTGGCAAGCATTACTCATTTACAAATGATATACTGAAAGATGCTCCTGTGTTTCAAACTTCATCACGCTTTCCTATGCAAAGTAATTAGACTAAATTCCTTTCCATTACACACTCATGTGCTACCTTTCATGTCTCGGAACATGAATGAATAGAACGCTTTAAATATGTATTTGTGAAAAATAGCCTACCACGAAGTAGAAGGAAAGAATTTGAATAGTATGACACTGATGTGGGGGAAGGGAGGTAACTCTCATTTCCTAACCTATTCCAGATTGTGTGAAACCTGCAATATGATACAATCATTTTTTTTATTATTGATAAATAAACAGGAAATAGTGAAATAAAAGCAAAATAGATATGTGAATATATCTGCCAATTTTAGACGCGAACAAAAAGGGTCTGATCTAAACAGAGGATATGACAGGAGCTCGCACTTTTGTCCACGTGTACATGTTTACATTTTCTACTTCCGGTAAGAATAGGACTTTTAATTTTTGAATAAAATTAAAATATTTTGATGAAAAGATATCTGTGGAGTATTTACGTATATAAAGCATGTTCCCATCACGTTTTTCGTTGTTTTGTAAAAACAAAACTCAAATCTCGTTTACTTATGAGACCTTGACGCTATACAGGAAATTGACAACATGGCAGACAACATGAGTGAAGTACCGGTCGTAAACGCAACAGTTAATGAAACAGCAGGAAATGCTACCACTAAGATTCCAGCTACTCCCGAAGGAATGGCCGTGGCATACGGGAGCCTGGTGATAATGGCGATTTTGCCCATTATCATCGGCTCTTTCCGTTCCGTGCGGTACCATAAGGCACAGAAGGTATTCTCAATTTCATGGTTTATTTCGGTAACTGCCGATTCTCCCATATGGGGATGTTTTAGACAGAATTCATGAATACAAATGTGTATATGGAGGTCGTCTTTTATTGTACAACGCTATTTCATTCACATGCCACATGTATTTGCCAGTAAATTATTCAGAATTTTGATCTGTAAATGGTTTGTTCATTTTAACTTCTGTGTTATATTTTACTCCCACGTAAATCTGAATTTTGTACATGTATAGATAATATTGTACATGTAAAGTTATATGAACTGGAGAAGATTATTTAGGAAAAGGAGTTTGAAGTCCATCTGAGTGAAGTCTTGATATTCTAGGTTTCAATCACAATCGGTGAATCCGCCACAATGTAGCTTTTCTATTCTTAATTTGGTTATTTGGACTTGTATCTTCTATCCTCCTTACTTTTACTCTCTCTGTATTTGTATGTGATATTGCCTTAGTTTCAAAGAAGATGTCCAATAAAAATGTTAACAGACACATAAAAAGGGGGTTTTCAAAACTACGATACAGATGTCTGTTAGTTGTGTTTCACAGTCTATAGAGTTTATGCCAGTATAACAAGTATAGTATTATAGATAAATACAGTGTTATGCTATAACCAGAAAAGGACTCGTAACCCACGATCAATAAGTAGAGATAAATTGATCTGCAAAGCCCTGACCAATTTTTCTAATGTTCCTTGCTCCTATTCCTAAGTTTTCACCACTGAAGACAACTTTATTTTTATCTGAAATTTTGGTATCCAATTTCCACGTACGCACAACATACATTCTGACTATGTAAGGGGGAAAATTGTAGTGACCAGATGGTGATTTTGGAACCAGGGCTTTCAAAATATAAATACTGGTTACAGTAGATGCCTTCATCAAGTGAGCTATCAGCTGACCACTAGCATTCTGTTTAATAAGTTCCTTCACTGATGCATTCAAAAGTTGATTATGATGTATCTGTATCTCGGAGATAAGGTTTCACAGCTTCTAGAATAAAATTAAATAAGTCATCACATCTGCCAGATACACATAATACAATAGTTTTGAATGTCCTTTCAAACTATCAGTGTGCTTTTGATATTGATCCTACTGGTATCTGACACACAACAGTGCCTCTCATGAATACTTTGGTCAGGTTATATATTTGTTACATGAAATTGTTGAATTTCATCGGTACAACTAATTACAAAACTAATCTGAATATTCAATATGTTACTGGCCTTACTACATACCTACTACATGTACTGAACAATACCTAAGTTTAAAAAAGGGATATTGGTTGATTAAATGAGTGAGGGTGTGTTTTACAGGAGGCAGGTGAAAAACCAGAGACAATGACCAGTAAGGATGCTGCAATGTTCCCCATTATAGCTAGTGGTACACTTTTTGGCATCTACCTCATATTTCAGGTAAGTTTTTTGTGTTTTGTCTTGTTAAGTGTTTTGTTCTATATGTACAATCTAATCAAAGTTCATTAGTGCTTCGTAATGAAGTTTAATGTCATTCAATGTGAGGGATTCAGTATATATGCTGTAATTTCATTTTAATATATAGACAACTGGTGAACAATGCTTTTTTGAGCATTTCATTTTTTTGTCAAGAAAAATATGACATTCCACAATTTCATATTAACAAACAACTAATAGTATAGATAATATATGAAAACAAGTTCAAACTATAATAATTCATTAACATATATTTTCTCTTTCATTCTCAGATTTTCTCAAAAGAACACATCAACTTACTTTTGACAGTGTACTTTTTCTTTCTTGGAGTGTTTGCATTGGCACATATAATTGGGTGAGTAGATATGGTTCTGTGAATTTAAAGTGTAGCAGATATGGTAAACAAATTTTCTTCCAAATTTTGTTATCGTGCAGTAAAATTTCCTGAAATAAGTGATGTCCAATTCAAAAACTACAATGGATCAGCAAAATGTTGACAATTACTACTTATTTAATTGCACCAAAAGCTCATGCTGTTTGTGAAAACAATTTTAAAGTTGTTCTCAGTTTTAATTTAACACAAAGTCCTTTTTATTTTCAGTCCATTTGTATCAAAGATGTTGCCAGCTTCATTCCCAAACATGGATTATCATCTCATATTCACACAAGGGAAGAAAGAGAAGAAAGAAGGTACTTAAGTATGAAATGAAATCCATACCATATTCCTGTATAACAGCTGTCAGTCTTTTTTTATTATTTTTTCATGTTTTAGAAATTACATTAAACCGTTCTACATAAATTGCATCATAAACTCAACTGTATCTGGTTTAGGAAAACACAGATGTGTAATCTTGTTTGACCTGTGTACTGAACTTTTGTGTTAGTAAGCCAGAGATATAGGTAAATACCTATAGTGAAAGCAGTTGTTGCTACAAACTTGATGTAGTTTTATGATTTATTTGGCAGATCTGATGAATTATGAGTTTGACAGAAAAGATCTGGTCTGTTTGGGGGTGTGTACAGCCATTGGAATCTGGTATCTTGTCCAAAAAGTAAGTCGTTTTCCAGAAGACACTTATGTTTGAAATTATATCATTGCATTTTAATTAGAAACTAAAGTGAGCCTTGGAATCAAAAAGCTTGTTATAAGGAAGGAAATATTTATATCAGAGGCAGCTGCATATTTCAGTAGGTAATTGAGAAATTATTTACTAACACTTGTCTCAGCAGAGAAGTGATGATGATATGACAAGAAATTGTCATGTTTAAAGAAAATCTTATCATATATACTTGTGAAGATACAACCATAACAATATAACACAGGAATATGAACACTTACCAAATATTAACACAGGTTTGTGATATCATATCAGTCAGGCAGACTAGAGCTAAAAGCTGAAATGAAAAGCTAATTAATTGAATCTGGAGATAAATCAAAGCTCAAAGTGTATAGAAGAAATTAGGTTTTTTAGTGCATACCAATAAATATATGCAATTTGTTTATTTTTTTCTCTGTTTTACAGCACTGGATAGCCAACAACCTGTTTGGGTTTGCATTTGCTGTCAATGGTGTTGAATTGCTGTCTCTCAACAGAGTCAGTACTGGATGTATTCTGCTGGGAGGACTCTTCATATATGATATTTTCTGGGTAGGCAACAGACTACTGATGGATACACTTGTTTCTCTGACAAGGATACATTTAACACTCTAGCACAAACTTCATATGTCTGTTTGGCGAACTTGATTTCTTTATCAAAAACTTTCTATCTTTCTTGTTGTTCAGATATTTAAGATTAGCAATTCATCTTTGAAATGTCTGTAGATGTACAAATACATATAAATTTACGTATGAAATTTTTTAAGGCAGATATCACTTTATAAATTGATAAGTTTTAAATTTAGGTGGAATAAATGTTTTACAAGAATACTAGCCCTTATTAAACCTATATATATACATATATATATTGTAAGTTAAAAACAAATCTTGTAAATGCATTAAAATTTAATTGTAGTTATAATATGTTTCCTACCACTTTTTTTAAGGTATTTGGAACTAATGTCATGGTTACCGTTGCCAAGTCCTTTGAAGCACCAATCAAATGTAAGTATTATTGTATGCTGGCATAAACTACTTAGTGAAGTAAAATATAAATAGTTAAATTAAACCATAACAATAACAAGAATTAAACAATAAATAGTATGTTTTTCTTCTTTAATTACTGATCAAGTTAATGTAGATGCATGTGTTACAATAACTGATTTATTTATGACGGAAAATGACTGATTAGTATTTTTCTCGTGATTTCAGTGGTGTTCCCTCAAGACCTCCTAGAGAATGGTCTAGGAGCCAGCAACTTTGCTATGTTAGGTCTTGGTGATATAGTAATACCAGGAATCTTCATAGCTCTTCTCCTTAGGTTTGATATGAGGTAAGAACACCCAATAAATAGTTATATTTACAAACATACCATTATCAGAACAATGATCTTGATTAACTTTGTGATAATTTATGTTATAATTAATGTTAGTTTAAAGTTTAACATTCTTCAATGTCTTCTGTTTCTGAACATTTAAACTGTTCTGTTTTCAGTCTGAAGAAGAACTCCAAGACATATTTCTATGCTAGTTTTACTGCCTACCTACTGGGATTGTTGTTAACCATTTTTGTAATGCATTTCTTCAAGCATGCTCAGGTAAGTGCACATTACACTATCTATATACCACATGTTCTTACTTCAATACATATACTTAAATTATTCCATTCCCTTTAACAGCTATACTTACATTATTCAACTCCTTACATCACATATACTTATATTATTCTATTCCCTAAATCACCTATACTTATATAATTCTATTCCCTAAATCACCTATACTTGTTTTATTGAAATAAAATAACCTCAATAGTAATTTGTCAGAATGACAACATACTGATATGTTTATTTGTATAAAATCCTAGATCTGCATTTCTGCATTTTCAAATTTGTAAATCATATTTTTTAACCAATTAAATGGCTACTGATTACTGATATGCCACGGTTGGTGTTAAATTCTTTAAATGTTTCTCTTTCAGCCGGCCCTGCTGTACCTTGTGCCTGCCTGTATAGGTTTACCCCTTTTTGTAGCTTTAGTTAAGGGAGAGGTCAAACAGTTGTTCAAGTAAGTTCTTTTTTATTTTTATTTTTGGTAATCAGCTAAAAGAATATTGCCTAAAAATCACTTATCCATATTGTATTTTACATTAATGATACAAAGTACATGTTGTGTGAGTTTTTTGAGAACTGTTAATAAATATTTGTTTTGATTACATAGCCTTTTTCTGATTAATTATATTACCGGAGTATTATGAAAAAACATGATTGTAAATTCTGTCGGATAAGTATTATTCTTTGTGTTTTCTGTCACAAGAAAATACAAAATTTCATGACTTCTTGGTAAAGTTGATGGTGTTGTTATTGCAATTTCCTGTTTTTCTCACAAAATGCAAAGTAACATGCTTAGTGAAATATCTGCTGAAAAGTTATCTTTGAGTTTTTTTTGTTTTTATGTTTTTTTTTTTTTTTTTTTTTTTGTTTTTTGTTTTTCTTTTATAAATATGCAGAAACTGGTTTTATAGACAATCTGTATGTATTGTGAACTTGAGATGCTCTGATAACAGATGTGTTTTGTTACCTTTCAGTTATGAAGATCATTCAGAGGAAAAGAAGGCAGATGAAAAGGAAAAAACAGCAACAAAAGAGGAAAAGAAATTGAAAAAAGAGAAATGAAGTTTCTCTCATTCTTAGATGTACATTGAATCAAACAAAATGTTGTTAAACATCTGGTAATTTTGGCTGTAAACAAAATTTTGCATATTTCATTCACTGACATTATTGAAACTCCATAATTTACAAAAAATAGTTGTACTTTTAAAAATACATATGCCAAAGTTTCCATGTTTACAGAGCTAAGTAAGATCCTGTGAAACTGTTAATTAATTTGATCTTGCATCCTATTGTTTGATTTTGTAAGCATGCTCTCTGTGTTTAAGATATAGGTAAAAAAAATAGTTAATAGATTCAGAAAGTTTATGCCTGTTATTGAACAATACACTGACATTAATGATCTACAAAGAAGTGTTTCTTTTCTTGTTTAGGATTTATCATCAAATGATAAAAAGTGTAAAGCTACAAAGATCTGAATGTATCAGGATTGTATTTAAGTGTTTAACAAATTACTGCTGACAGTTTAGGCAGGTGTTAGCTGCATTTATATCATTTGTAAAACTAATAACGAGGTACAGACAGAGATAATGATGTTGTTCATGTTGTATGGTGCTTTTAACTTTACAAGGATATACTGCCATGATGTAAGGTACAAATTCTACTAGAATTCACACTAGAATAAATCATACGCCTACACATAACTTGTTTCTATCTAGATGTGATAGATTTGATCTAAATACAGGTCGTAATTATGTTATAAACTATTGTAGACTTGTCATTTTTCTAGTCGATTAGTACAAATGCATGTTATCTGTTGACATGAAATACAATATTTACTGAGGAGATGTAGTATAGATTTAAGACAGGGCTGTGTACCTGGGTAATACATTTATATAGATATTGATAAACACATATATACTTGTCAGGATGTTCAGCTTTCAATTTATGAAGAATGAGAATATAACAAATGGAATTTTAAAAAGAGAAATTAGGCTCCATACTGGGGATAAGTAGATTTTAAAACTAAAATTGACAGCAAATTCTTTATCCATATGATAATATAGGCAAGATAAATTACACGTCCATATTCTAGATCTGTCCTAAATGCCACTTTTATATCAAGGCCACTTATCCATAAAGGCCACTTATCTCTGCTCCTTAGAGTGGCCACTATTGACTGCATTATGCTGCACACTTCATTCTTTAAAGATTATCTTACTAAAAATGATCCAAACATATTTGTTCTCATTAGAATATCCAGACACCTTCTTTGTTGACAAAAATGGGTGATTTTCAAAAATGAATTATTGTCACAAATTCTTAATGAAAAAGAGAAGATAAATTTAGCCCTATAAGAGTGGCTGGATAGTGGGAAATTGAGGATGATGCTGACTGGACACAAGAGCACCTGAATGTTGTTTGACTGATTTGTGGAACGCCCAGAGTAGCTGTGATTGTGTAGTGATGACTGGATAACGTAGGCAGATTAGTAACAGCTTAAGGGAACTTGTTTTAATGCAGTTTTAAATTTGTGAATTATATGACATAAACTGAGCTGTTTTTATGAGACAGATTATATGTTGATATATTTTAGACAGTTCATTTTTATTGATGGATGTAGTTCCACTTAAAGTACACACATTTCAACGCTAGCCAAAATTAGGGTTTAAAGATATTCCTGGAAAAATGCATTTATCAGTGTCTTGTTCATGTATTTTACTTTGATTTTACTTAACAAGTTCAAGCTGGTACTGATTCACTAGATATTTAGAAATGACATGTAGGGAGTTTTCTAAATGACCAAAGTTGATGTTGATGTTGTTACAACTCTGATATATCATATTGGTAACCAATGTGTTCATTTCCCATCCTTCAATTTACTTTTTCATGTAGAAGATTAGATCTAGATTTCAGATTCAGGTTTTCTTATTTCTTCAGTATAAAACTATTCCTGTACAGGTAACCTTTCAGCTGTGATTGTTAGATATATCTTATGAAGTTCAAACAGCGCTATTTTGTGGTGAAATATGTAGAGGCATGCTCATAACATGGTTGTTAATTGCAAAATGATGGGGGGAAAAACATCTTCAGCTGTTGTTTTATTCTGATTTTTTTTTATTTTCCCTTTTAAATTATTAACTCCTTCATTTTAAGTTTTTATTTATGCCAAACAATTGATAGTAATGTTGAAATGTTATTCTTTTTAAATTTTCTTGCATGTACAGTGAGTAACAGTTATCTCTCTTTAAGCACAAATTTAGTGTATATTTTATCGATTTGGTTAAGGGATCAGTTGAGAGAAAAGACAAAGGTTATAACCAAAAGATGTTACAGATGAGGCAAAGCAATACCAGTGATAATTAAAAAAACTGCCAAGAAGATCTTAATTCTTACTGATGTGTTTAAAACTAAATAACTAAGTTTTCCATTCAAGCATTTTTTCTTGGAATCAAACATTACTAGCATTACATGTGAGGTAAATAATTTATTGATAAATTCCCAACCTGGGGTTATCATGTATTTGCCACTCCTAAATAATGTTTTAAATTTCATGTTTTATGATGCATTGTATGCTCCCAAGTTCCTGTATAGAACCAAAGTGGATGAAGTGGATGATTTGTATAGCTATATAGGTATTGTAAGCATTAAATCTAGGACTAAATTGCCAACTATCTTACAGGGTGATTGAAAGAATGATAGGGTGTGGCGGGGGTGCGTCAGATTGAGTTGTGTGTAAGGTAGGCTTCAGTGCAAGCTGCTATGTTAATGATGCAAGTGATGTAAAAAAAAATTGTGAATAAATCTGCATAGTCCAACAAAATTGTGTTCTCTTTGTTTTGATATTGTTAAAGGACAAATCGTCTTAATAAATGCTTTCTTTAAACTGTACTGATGTAGACAATTATAATCCTATTCAGTTTACCTTACATTAATCACATAATTTAAGAGTTTGTATGTAGGGTATCAAACAGTATTGTGTATTGGTAAAAACCGCACTAGGAATCATGAATATGTTAACAAAAATGGATTTTGGAATTATTATTGATTGAATCTTTAACACATGACACTTGTATAACAGTTACCTCTGTGTGTGTAACATCATACAATATCAACAGACTATATGATATAATGATGGTAATATAATTCCCAAACATCCTTCAAACAGCTGCTACAAGCTGCTACAACAAACAACGCTGCAGCTACTACAAACAAATGGTCAAACGACTTCACAAACGGGTTTCTATGACAAACAAAGGGTCAAATGTTTTTCTGCTAAAACCCAGCGGTTTCTACAATGATAAAAACCGACTAAGTTTGCACTGCAGACATCCAATGGTCACATAGAGGTCAAATCCTTTGGTGCCTAGGCTAATAACCTAGACCTAACTTCCTTTCACAAATGCAACTACCATGCAGACACTTCCATTACTAGGTGAGGGTCGCCAAAATTGATATCAGATGTAATTTATGTATCTCACCAGTAATTTAAACTCAGCAAGGGACCCATCTCCCCTTTTCAAGAACAGACCATACACTTAACTTCTATTCACTTGACCGGAAATGCCTAGCCTTATGAAGAATGTGTGACCTTTATTTATACACCAACATAAATGACCAATAGCTTGACCGCAGACTATCGGGGAATTATCCTCATCAGCTTTAACATAGACCAAGAAAAATGGATGTCTTGAATGAATTCTTAACCGATGTCTCTACACAAGCCATGCATCTTATATTGTCATTCACTGATGCTCTAGGTTACCTACGGCAGTAACTGACGAACTCTGGGCAATTGTAATACACCGACAACGGGTCACTCATCCACATGTGGCAACACACGGTGCCGAATCATTGCATAATACCCCCCAAAAAATGTAATGTATTCAACTCTAGGAGCAAGGAAGCCGAACTCGTGGCGCCTGGGGCTCGTATCAGTGTTGTCTGATACCAGGCTCTTTCGACGCTGGATGAGTGGTTGACTAAGTACACAGTTCACCTCATTTAAACAGGTCGCCTTTCACCTGTTTATGGCACAGACATCGGACAGGAATGGGATGACACGTTTTAACCCCCTTCCAAACAAGCCAAACGTCTTCTACAACAAGCAAACGGTCAAACGGCTTCTATTGCAAACAAACGTCCAAACCCCAACTATAACAAGGTGTCAAACGTCTTCTACGGCAAACAAATGACGACTAAACGGCTACTTTAACAAACAAACAAACAATCAAACGAATTCAAAAGTAAACAATTAGCAAAATGGCCTACCTAGCAAGTAAACTGTCAAACGCCTTCTATAGCAAACAAATGGTCAAATGCCTTCTATAGCGAACAAATGGTCAAACGCCTTCTATAGCAAACAAATGGTCAAATGCCTTCTATAGCGAACAAATGGTCAAACGCCTTCTATAGCAAACAAATAGTCAAATGCCTTCTATAGCAAACAAACCGTCAAACGCCTTCTTTAACAAACAGTCAAACGACTTCTGTAGCAACAAACGTTCCAATGGTTTCTATAGCAAACGGATTCTCCAACTATCAAATATCTACGGCAACAAACTAAGGGTCAACCAGATTCTACAATAAACAAACGGTAAAGCGGCTTCTACAACAAAGTAACAGTCAAATGGCCTGTGTATGATACAAAGGATAAAAAAGTGTTTATGCCTAAAACGGTTTCTCGAGCAAACAAAATGTCAAACGCCATCTATAACAAACAAACGGTCAAACGTCTTCTATATCAAACGGTTGAACGTCTTGTACAAGAAACAAACGGTCAAACTGCTGCTATAGCAAATAAACGGTCAAACGCCATCTAACAAACGGCCTTCTATAGCAAACAGTCAAACATCTCATTTAGCAAACAAACGGACAAACGCCTTCTATAATAAACAAACAATAAAATGCCCTCTACAGCAAATAAACGGCGAAATGTTGTTGTTGTTTTTTGTTTTTTGTTTTTTTGTAAACAAATTGTCAAAAAGAAAGTCACGCAACAACTTAATGGGAAGATGTTGCGATTGGTTTTGATGTAGGAAAAGATTGATGAAAGCGAGCTACAAGAAAGAAACAGTTTCTACAATAAACAAACAGCTTAACGACTTCTTAAATTAACAATTACAGTAGCCTCTACAAAAACGTACAACAAACAATCGGCTTCAATTATAAACAAACGGCTTCAACAACAACCAAATGGTCAAAAGGTGCTACAATCAAATAGTCAGACGGCTTGGTTGAATCTATCTATCTGTAGGATTGAGAATAGAATGTTATTAGGAATATGCCTGTAATTAGTGTAAATAATTCATTAGCAGAAGTCGTGTGATTGTAAATACATCTAATTTGGTATAGGTATACATGAATAATTTAGTTAAGAAGCCGCTGGTACTGAAAGAAGTGTATTGTTTCATATGAAGAGATATAGTACAGACTGTTCAAGTGATTTGACACAGGGCCTTGGCACAAACCTATATATCGTATGGACCGTAGGGTTTTGAAAATGATGGACAATCAAGAGAGAAATGAAAATTTCGTGTTTCTGCTAATCGGTGTAGACATAGATATGTTTAGTTTTTGGTTTACGTCATTACAACGGCCAAGGTCATTTGAAGACGATTTCCACGAATGATGGGTCAACTTATCTTGTAAACTGTCTATTACATCCAATTCCATGCTGGGAGATAAAAGGAGAGCACGGACGTTGGTGTGTCAGGGCAGAGTCTCGCCTGAATGAACGCACAACTCGAAGGTCGACGACCTCGTAAAACGACCTCGTAAAACTGGTGTTGAAATAACAATACGATATGTTAAAGCATGAGATTCTGGATAATAACATGATGAAATTTAACACGCTTCGTAAAGGTGACTCAAAGAATTGGGTTAGAAAAAAGGCATCATCGATGATGATCAACCGTATCGATAACAATAATGATTCGGCTCCGAAACCGGATATGTACGTGACTACTGACATATACTGTGTCAGAGGCTGGACAGTGACACTGACCATCCCCAATAACGCAGTCATGTGCATTTCCTGGCCTGTCTGGTCAATAGTCACGACTCATTGCTGACGAATACAATAAGACCTCGGTCGTGACAAGATGACATAGGTTATACAATATAAGCCCCATCGGTGAAGTTAATTAAGTAATTAATACAGAGTGAGTACAAAAAATAACCATATCTCAGAACCACCGTTCAGAACACAAATCTAATCACCATTTATATGGAACATTTAGAGGATCGCAATACATAGGTGTACATTTCGTAGTTTTGTTTCATTAATATCACAAAACTATAAAAGCTTTGATTTACTAATCGTACAAATAGATATTTGATATAATGTTGGCCAATAAGTCATAGTTAGTTTGTCTTAATGAATATGGCAATAACCCTCGAGTCATATTGAATATATTAATAAACCGAGTCATAGTGAGTATATCAATAAACCCGAGTCATAGTGAGTATATCAATAAACCCGAGACATAGTGAGTATATCAATAAACCCGAGACATAGTGAGTATATCAATAAACCCGAGACATATTGAGTATACTAACAAACCCGAGTCATAGTGATTATATCAATAAACCCGAGACATAGTGAGTATAATCAATAAATTTGAGTCTTACTGAGTATGTTGATAACCAACGTGTCATAGTATTTCAGAATGAATATCAGTAATAATGAGTATATCAATAAACCCGATATCACAGTGTGTATGTCGCTTAAGTGTGTGTGTCACTTAGCTGTTGTGTCACATTGTGTATATCACTTAGCTGGGGTGTCACAGTGTGTATGTCACTTAGTTGTGGTGTCACTGTGTGTATGTCACTTAGCTCTGGTGTCACAGTGTGTGTGTCACTTAGCTGTGGTGTCACAGTGTGTATGTCACTTAGCTGTGGTGCCACAGTGTGTATTGTCGCTTAACTATGTGGTCACAGTGTGTATGTCGCTAAACTATGTCGCCACAGTGTGTATGTCGCTTACATCTGTCGTCACAGTGTGTATGTCGCTAAACTCTGTCGTCACAGTGTGTATGTCGCTTACATCTGTCGTCACAGTGTGTATGTCATTTAACTCTGTCGTCACAGTGTGTATGTCGCTAAACTATGTCGTCACAGTGTGTATGTTGCTACATTCTGTCGTCATAGGGTGTATGTCGTTTAACTCTGTTGTCACAGTGTGTATGTCGCTTAACTCTGTCGTCACAGTGTGTATGTCGCTTAACTCTGTCGTCACAGTGTGTATGTCGCTAAACTATGTCGTCACAGTGTGTATGTCGCTTAAATCTGTCGTCACAGTGTGTATGTCGCTTAACTCTGTCGTCACAGTGTGTATGTCGCTTAACTCTGTCGTCACAGTGTGTATGTCGCTTTCATCTGTCGTCACAGTATGCATTTCGCTTAACTCTGTCGTCACAGTGTGTATGTCGCTTAACTCTGTCGTCACAGTATGTATGCCACTTAACTGTCGTCACAGTGTGTATGTCGCTTACATAAATCTGTCGTCACAGTGTGTATGTCGCTAAACTCTGTCGTCACAGTATGTATGCCACTTAACTGTCGTCACAGTGTGTATGTCGCTTACATAAATCTGTCGTCACAGTGTGTATGTCGCTTAACTCTGTCGTCACAGTGTGTATGTCGCTTAAATCTGTCGTCACAGTATGCATTTCGCTTAACTCTGTCGTCACAGTGTGTATGTCGTTTAATTCTAGTGTCATAAATTTGTTGTGTTGGGTCACTATAGTTTCAAAAAATGAGTTTGACGGTTAATTTTAGCGTGACACGAATATGCTGATTAATTCTAGCATCATATACAGTAGCGTCGCGGTAAGGAAATATGTCAGTTGAATGTAATACAGCGTTATATGATATGGGTATGTCGTTTAACGCAAACGTTACATACATTCTATACAACACTGTCGTATTTCAGTTTGACTTTTGATCTTGGCAAAATGTCAGGGATTTTTTTTTTTTTTTTTTCGTAAAAACCAGTAAACAATAGATCCTACAGGGGTCTTGGCACCCACCATTGTATGAACATTATATAAGTGTGATATTTTCCTCTCTATCCTCTTATTTGCTCTGAACACTGTCGACAAAGATCCTTTCAGTATTTCTATAAATAGCGATCAATCTATAGCTACTAATATCCCGGAAAATGGTCACCTGTCAGCCATTTTATTTGTTAGTGCCAAAATGGACAATGCACAATAACCAATCACAGGTCGAGTCAATTCAAGTAAAGTCGGTACATATATAACAATAAACACATTCCAAGTGATTTTACAGCCGACTGTAAACACATGTAAAATATTCCAAAACAGCATGCATACATAAAAAAAATCATATAGGACGACACAGTTTAACTAAGATTAAAGTATAAGCGTATAACATTATATAATAAAGCTACGAAACAAATCTTTTAATATATGTATATACACACAATGCAACACAGACTACTAAAGATGAGAATAATATAAAACATAGAACGTGCATAAAGCTGGATTAAGTTAATACAAATGCATAACTCTTTTAATGTAAATGCAAACATTTCAGTTAAGTGAACATGTAACTTTAAGCAACATAAATTTAACTTCAATTTGGCCACAATGTCCCAACAAAATGTCCTTTTAAGCACTCTACTTTTGGCTACAGGTACAACTATAGCTGGCAAAGGATAGACAAAGTCAATGATATTACGTTGTAATCAATTTGGATTCAATTATGTCCAACTCCACCGAAAATCATGACAGTTGGTGGAAATAGTTTCTTTTCTTTTTTTTCAAATGTGCACTCAAGACAACATTTTCCAGCCATGTTCTTGTTGTTTAATCTAGCCATTCAATGTTGATCTGAAATTGAATGACAATACGTCTTATACAAACATCCGCCTAAATTATCATCCTGCCCCTCCTTGGTCCCATGATATGCCACTCAATATTGCTATTGGATTTGGCATTGATTTTTGCGAAAATCGTTTGCTAGTACGAGCTGCCGTACATGTGCGTAACTTGACAGCATGGTGGATTGTGGGATACGTTTTCTCATTCATCGCAGCAGGGGAATCACAAGTCAGTCGACGACTATGTTGTCGGACGTAAATTAGGTGTTATTGAGCTCCACGAGCCAACGTTTGTTACACGTGGTGTATATATAAATTCATTTGGATTTGTGAGACAAAATGGTCAAGGAAAAACCAAATTCTATACGTACTTACGACAAAGAAGGATTCCGGCGGAGAGCTGCATGTCTGTGTTTCAAAGACGATGCCGAAAAAGAGGTGATGGTGCTGATAATGCTTTTTAAGATGTTACACTGACTAGTCGATTTTTTAGTGAATGAATAGTCGATATGTTTACATTATTGAACCTTTTGATATATTTTCACACCATAACATGATGTCGTGTTCACATTTTTGGTTTGTCGTTTTGTTTACCGTTAGTACAGATGTCTTACTTCGTTCTTGCGTCATGTCTGTGATATTTTTTCTGCAGACGACGTTGACATTTTATTTTGACAATGTCATTGAATTGAATCGGAGAATGTTATTAAAGATAATTTTCTCAAAAACCGATTCTCGAAAAAAAAAATGGTATCATAGGATTATTAAATAAAGTAGGCCTATTAGACCGTGGTGATGTGAAACAGATCCAGTGACAGCTGATCATTGGTATGATAATTAGTCTATAATGTTTTAATTATTTTGTGGCGCACTTCATTCCTGCCATTTGTTTTGAAAGCATGTGGTGATTTCAGTAGTTATTCATCTTGAAGGCTTCAAGCTGATGATGTAAATTTTTAAAATGACAGGTGATCCAATATTTCAAACTTGATGTTTTGTAAAGTAGTAAGTAATCAGGATGATTCAATGTTATTTTGTTACATTGTAAGATATAAACTGTGTGTTCTCTCAGAAATTAAGGTTATCGTTTAAATTTTCATTTCTTGTATTTATGTCATTTTCATTTGTTTCGTTCGAGGGGCATGTAGAATGAATTTGTTTGGGTTCCTATGTTACTAGAACTTTTAGTTGTAACATTTGAAAACATTGAAAATAAAACTGATTACACAAGGCAAGGTATAAATGGGCACACCGCCATGACCACAGTTTGCATTAGGCACCAAGTATTGTTTATAGGGCATAGTGATCTGTAACCATGTGCTTCACTTATGATCAAATTTTGTGTTTACTGCAGAGTAGGTCATCCCAAGAAACTAACCAGTATACAGCCAATCACTGTCCTCTGTTGTAAGGTCTCGTCTAAATTTAGCATCACATGCTACTATAGGTGTGTAAACAAACATGTAAAACTCCTCATGTACAATAATAATCAACACTATTGACGGTATTTATGTAATTATGTAGACTTTACCTGCTGGGCTTAGTGCCTCTGAAATTTATTCATAAACATTTTTTCACAAATTGAGTATTGATTTCATAGTACATTGGACATTACATTTCCTTCAAATCCGCCTCTCATTCTCAGTTTCATCATAAATTGATCTCCAACACATATACTTCAAATCTCATCAATGCAATCATAAACATTTGAAAGACATTTGACATGCATGTAGATACTATGTTACTGACCTAGTTTTTACTTTGCTGACTTGCATTGTCAGCTTTATGGATATATTGAGACTTTGTGTAAAAAAAGAAAAATTCATCTTTATTATGAATCCCTTGGCATTTTACTTGAGAAATACTATATATACATTGCATGTCATGTGACTAGGTTACTGTGACCTACATTTTCTACTTCATTTGTTTTTATTGGCTCTCTAAGTTATTTCCAGCTGAAAGCTGGCCAGTAAAACCTATATGCATAGTATTATTGGTAAATGGTTCATGTTTTATTCATGTTAGATAACTGTTTTATATTATTGTCTGGATTTATTGATAGGCAGTTGCAAAGGCAGAGATTGACGGAACTGTATCAGTGCTATTTGATACTACAGTATCAAAGTTTTGTTGTTGTTTTGTTTAATTGAAAGAGTGCAGTTTACCTCTGAAAATTTGCTAAACAAAACTACTCAATGGAATTTAGATGCCCAGTTTTATAAAAAGCATTTAAAAAAAAAACCAAGAATACAACCTAGCTATTAAAACAGTGCCAATTCAATTTTACTTTGAACTTACTTAACACAAACTATTTAATACTTTTCTGATAGATATTGACTCAACAAGCAATAACTTCAGTCTGCCGTGTATGCAATCACTTCTTTATAATGGTGTAAAACTTCATATAATCCTACAGTTACAATACTTTGTTTGCACATCAGTTTGACTATCAAGTTTGAAATTAATCAAAAGAAATCTTTAATTGAGTCTTTGAAGACAGTTTGAACTGCATACATAGATGAAAGTTTTGAAAGACATAACAGTAATTCATGCATGCACAATTGGAGGCCAAAGACTTAATTATATGTATTAAGTAACCCAGAGATGCATTAGGATACATGTACTTGCCTTATTGACAAATCAGGAAAACATCATTTTGATGATTCCATAAACTTATATGAAGGTGTTAGTTTTATTTGTTTTAATTAGCACCTTCATACAAGATGTAAATATATAGAATATTAAAAAATCAATTGAGCGTAAAGAAATCTGACTCATTTTAACTCTGGATTCCGATTGGGAATAAAATACAGTTCTTATCATAGAACATGAAATAGCATGTTATAGTTTAGAGTTTTAAACTTTTTTTATTAATTCTGATTTCAGCAATGCCTATTATATGAACTGTAAAAGTTGATGCATGACAACAATGATTACTTCCCCACTTAACACTATACATCCCTCAAGATGAAGTTAGGTTAGCCTTGTGCTTCATTGTATGATTTAAGCAGGATTGGTTGTGTATTGGAAGGGTGAAAAAACTTTTTCTTTTCCTTTTGTAGAATTTTGCCAGGACTGTCACTGCTTTTCTCTTGGATGCATGATCAGTACTTTAATTTTGGGTTGATGCATTTTAGCTATCTGTTTTCCATTTTTATATTTTATTTGGAGTAATGCCCGGTTTTCTACATATTTGTTTAAATATTTTAGAGCAAGTAATATTGATATTAAGTTTGTATTGTTTAGTACATTCCTGAATTAATACCAGGTACATTATCTTAATAACTTTACATTTGCTCTGGGCCCAGCTTAGAAAATCTGAACTATTCAGTCAGGTATTTATTTTTAAGTGACCAGTAAGGCCATGAAAGAAAAACATCGGGTATAATATTGATACATTTATACATGTTTATGTACACAAGATTAATTTTTGTGGAAATGTATTTTTCCTGATACAATTTATAACACTCTAAGGAAAACTTGATATTAGTTTAATCTTTGTATTTCAGCAGAAATGTTGACAGTTCAAAATTCAGAAGTCAAATTAATATGATCATAGACTACAATGTTTGATGTTGTGTACCTTTTACATATTACAGAACAATTCAAAGATATACACATGTAGTTACATGTATACACAGATTAGATGTCTATAGGTTGTAGCATGATATAAATCTTTAAATATGTAAGTAAATCTATACTGATACAGTTGGAAAATCTAGCTTTGATGGCCATGTATTAGTTCTACTTTTTTACTGATATGTACTAATATAATTTAATTTTAAGCAATGATCAAAACTTCATGTAGCCTTAGATTGAACTGTGTTAAAGATAAGTCAGCTATCTTTATTCCCATTGAAATCTTGCTGTCATGAATTGGCCTGATTTCTGTGAGACGATTTATGAAGGGTTTCATAAAAAGTGAATCGATAAAAGGGTGGAAGGCATGGATAAGTGGTGACTGCAGAATGGCTTTTTTTCAGTTAATAATAAAAAAAAAAAGTTTGAAAAAAAATAAGAAAAATTCAGCATGCATTATCTGGAACCCAAAAAATTCAAGGGGGGACTGCTATGAATTAAAGTGATACTCTGTTAATGGTGATATATAATATAAGCAGAAATTAATTTTAGTTTCTTTGATTGTCAGATCCTTCTTGTGACAAGCAGTAAGGACAGAGAAAAGTGGGTGGTCCCAGGAGGAGGTGTGGAGCCCTTAGAGGACCCCAGAAACACAGCTGAACGTGAAGCTCTTGAGGAGGCAGGGGTCAGGGGAAAATTAGGTAGACACATCGGCATGTTTGAGGTGAATATTTTTTAACATCTACAGCTAGATTCTGTTGAGAAGTATTTTAAGATATAGTAACTCTGAATCCACTACTCATGTAATAATGTCTTGATGGCTTTTATCTGATCTGTATGTCAGATACAGCATAAATGTGTTCTTCATAGAGAAGCCATATAGCTTTTTCTAGCTAATTAACAGACACCTATACACAAATGTAATTTTCTGAACTGGTTGAACTGCCTCAGGATAACACTTGAGACCGTCTTTTGGCCATTTAAGGCAATTTCCCCATATTTCCTCTGTGGTTCATAAACATTTCTTTAGATTTATTCTATGTGTAAGCCTCTGGAAGTTTTGAAATTGGTCTGGAATGGTCCATCATAAACAGGATGATCTGTAGGTAATGATCACTGCAATGGTTAGTTCGTGGTAGATTTCCTGTTAAATTGTCAGCTGATCACCTGTACTAAAGAAATCATATGAACGTCTTAGAATCAATAACTGTCTTCATTATCGACCGAAGGATTTCATGGTAATGATTGGAATTTGGATCTTAGCTAATCATGGTGTCCTTGCATGATGCCCTCAATTAATGGCCTACTGGTATACTGTCATCTCCAGTACTCAAATTACCATGGGAACCTAACCTTGTATCCCTGGGTCTGTCATTTAAGCTTACGATTACTTATAATGATTACAACATGCAGCAGGTGTTTTACACCTGTGTTAATTTTGCTACAATACCAAGACCTTAATCTCAAGGTCTCTTGTAATAGTTCCTTCTGACTCAAGTTCATGTGATCCAGCTCCTGTACATATGATTTTTGTATGATTGTAAAACAGAGGACATAAATGAAGCCATATGCATTTTGTTTGGATACACCTAACAACAAGTATATAGATAGGTACATGTACAACATTCTGAGTAGTGTGACACCTGCTTTAAGTACATCTGTCACATATCCAGTAGGTATGTTGACAGCTTTTGGATGTATGGTTTATAAGATATATAGCAGATCTAGATGTCTCGGGGATATGATGCTCTGTATTTAAGTGCTATATGAGTACATTTTTGTGAGGTTCCTAATTAATAAGTGGGCTGGTGTCTGATGATCAAATGTATGTCCGTCACATTGGCTGTACTACACTCATCGTACTTTATATTTTATTGCTAACATACATCTTAGCTAGTACAAAGATTTATTCTATGGTCTCCATTATACATGTATATCGGAACCTGTTACATATAATGAATATATAATTTGTATAGTTATCATACATTGAATGAAAAATATCTAATAGGAGTGTTATTTCCTTCTGCCTTGTCATTGTTCCAGTAACTGAACACCGTACTGTCTGCCCATATTAGATACTAGGTAAATACAATTAAAGTTTATTGAGTGTTGATATATCATTACTCATCATACCATATATGGTTACATCCTACACTACAGGTGTTCATGTCAGGCCTTGAAAACAGCAAGTGCCTTAAATTTGTACTAGCTAAAATTACTTTTTACTTGCTTTTATTGCAAATTTCCATGTTCAAATAATGTGTTTTGTTTTGTGATTTATGATGTATTAACTTGCTTCATCCAATATATATCAACATTATAGAAGAACTGCTTTGTCCCAATATTTACACTTTGAAAATCAAAACTCAAAACAATTTAAATCTGTGAAATGTTAGGAATAGACAGGCACTCAAAGTTTGCATCTGATGAATCCACTTGCTGAAAAAAGCAAGTCATTATTTTTTCTACTTGCAATACTTGGATTTCTACTTGCAAATAGCCAGTAAAAATCCTTAAATTTGAGGCCTGCATGTACTTTTTACTGAACAAAATCCAGATTCCATCACTATCAAAACAGTAGAGAAATTACTTTCTACCCCATTGGGCAAAAATATCCACAATTTCAGTCAGGGTTAGACTTATCTACCCTCCAGAGTAGGATAACCAGCATGTACAAAATATCAACATGTGAACTGAAATGATCTTTCTTGTCATTGTTCAAGATGTGTTGGGGTCAGTTTGGGTTGTTGATGTCTTTACTTATTGCCAATGGGAGATTTCATTACAATATATTGTGGTTATGCAGTCACATATTATGTGTTTTTATTTATTGAATGCTATGGCTGGGGGGGGGGACAGAAAAATAGCCTAACTTTAGGGTAAAACAGAGAACTCTCTACTGGAAGAAGAGATTTTGACTGTCTAACCCTTGTCTGTATATATACACAGCCCCTATGAACCTAGAACATTTTGTAGTCCAACAAAACATTTTTCCTTTAGTCCCATTCTATGTACTGTGTTTCGAATAAATGGATTTTGATGAGTTTTCAAGCTTTTTTGTTTAATCCAGATAGTGGGTTTGATATATCTTTGTTCTGTATATATACAACATGAAATGGTGCAGATTCTGATCCTATTTACAAATGTACAATGAATTGTATATTTGTGTAAGTGTATCATGTATTGTCACTTCAGAATAAAGACAAGAACCACAGGACAACAGTGTATGTGTTTGTAGTAACGGAGCTGATGGACGACTGGGAAGATAAAAGGGCTATGGGTAAGAGTCTTCATATACTTGTGTGTTGTAAAATTTGTTTAGTAAATATAGACATTCAAGCATTGACATGATAAATACAATTGTTTTTTGAAGATTATTGAAAACCTCTGTATAAAACTAATCTATTAGAGGAATTAAAATACATTAAAGAAGGTAGCTCTAAGTATAGCATGTCTAGCCATTTGAACATCATGTCGCTTCTCCTTCATGTAGAGTTTGATTCAAGTAATTGAAGAATCCATAATGTTTTGATGATGATTGAAACTAATATTTATAGATGTAATATCAATTATCTCAGGCATCCCAGCTGTGTTGTAGGTACCAATGAGACACTCAGTCGCAGATAGACAATAAAATGGAAGTCAGCAAATAGGCTTAGTATTACCCAGAATACACATGTACATGCTCATCCATCTATCAGTTCATTCTTTTCATGTTTCCTCACAATATTTCCAGTCCTGTTTCTATGATTTCTCTCAGACTCCTCACTTGTTCCTTGGCAGAAAGTCTTTTGGTCTGGAAGTCAAAGGTCCAGGTCACTATTACTGCAAATACAAAATCAGTTTCTACATATCTAATCAAGAGATGCTTCATAGGAAAAAGTGCTTGCTTGGGATATTGATATTGTTTTTAATGTTTGAAAGTCAAAGGTCATTTTTATTCTTAATATGAGTGGAAAATAAAAAAAAAATCATCAAAACAAATGATATATCTCATGCAATCCATTAAAGGAATGACAAATATACCACGTTCCGTTTCATGTTTCCAGTAGGATACCAATATCAATCAGTGTATTTGTATGTGTTTGCACATAATTATGAAAGTGATATGATTTTATAAAAAAATAATTAAAGATGAAAATGGTAGGTTACTTTAATTTATCATCTGGTACTCCCTATGGAACCTTATAATTTTTTTTCAGGAGACAAACATGTGCAATATGCATTGAATTGTATGGTAATGATTTTCACTGTATTTTGAAGTGATTTTGACTGCTGCCTATTGTATAGTATTCAGATTCACTGAAATATTGATCAAGAGTACCTGCAGTTTATTAGCTTCACAAATACAATGTAAATTGATACATGTGTGTTTGAAACAATTTCAGCTGGAAAACCAGATTTGTATTACATGATATATGTTTACATAAACAGGTAGTGATTAAAGGTCATGATATATATATATATATATAGATGTCAGCTGTGTCATTGTTGCTTTGAAAGATATGAAGACACACTGCTAGCTATGGTTGCAGTACAGTAGTTTAAATCAAACATAACTAATTCTGTATCTATCATGGCAGATAAGTTGTTTACTTTATATGACAAAGAAAGCTATGTAATGAAAGGTCTGGTGGGATATGTAGGTGTTCTACCTGTGAACATGTGATCACAATCTCTATAGCACATACAGTTACCATTTTTAGATCTATCATCGACCCAGGTTACCCCGGCCTCAAAAGAATCGGATATAGTAATTGTTGGGTACATTACAATGTATTTGGGGACTCTTGTCTTTAAGATTGATACATCAATAAATAGCCTCAGACATCAGTCATATGATGATTCTAGCTACATACTACAAACTTTGTTACTACGATGGACATCAGACATCAGATAGAGTTAAACATGCTGTATATATGCCAATATATAAATGTACTTGTCCAGACCCATGCATATAGATACTGGTCAGGAATTGTTATCCCTATTTTGAGCTTTTGTCCATGAGGAAGATCTATATGTCTCTCCTATGTGAAGTATTGTTTACCCGTTGTCCAGTTAGGTTTCCGTACTTTTAACATAAAACATATATTTTAGCTAGAGGTACGGAATAATATGGATTAAACTTCAGTAATCATCCTAATTTTGTAAATGGATATATTCTGCCATCATATTCATTAGAAAATGGACCATACAGTTGCTGTTCTGAGTCACTAACAACAGTGTGATGTGTGGCTGTATACAGTGATGAGATACAGAAACATTTCTTTACTCATCATTAATGGCTACCAAATGAACTTTCTGTACTACATGCAATACGGTACTTTTCATCACTTCAGTATTAATAAATTCTTTATTTCATACTTATACTTTGTAAAATGGCTAATAAAAACATATTAAATAAATTATATAGTCTATTTAAAGCATATTTGTAATCAGTCATTTAAGTGAACAGTAGAAAAAAGAACAGGTACCCTAACACTTTCACATTGCCTCTTTAGAGGCAGCCAGTGAAACTGATTATCATGCTTCACATACCATTTATCACCTAGATCATCATTAAGTGTCCTTACAGCTAACAGGGAGAGATTAATCAAAACGACAATCAATTTCAGATAACACTTTATATTTCTTGGACTGGAAGATGCTCCTTGCAATGTCCTGATTCTCAGTATATACTAGTACAGCGGTATTTAGATTGAGTATCTCACCCGATGAAGAAGTGAAGGTCATGGTTGTTGTTTACGTTTTGTTAGCCTAGTACTCAGGACAAATATTGGAATTCAGGGTTATCAGCAGATAATTTAAAGGACAGGGATCAATGTTAATAGTATTTGTGTCCACAGTCTGGGTTTGTGTACCATGATCATAATCATGTTCTGTGTCCACAGACAGGGTTTGTGTGAGGTGATGGATGTGTAGGCCTGTGTCTACAAACAGGGTTTGTGTGAGGTGATGGATGTGTAGACCTGTGTCTACAGACAGGGTTTGTGTGAGGGGATGGATGTCTAGGCCTGTGTCCACAGACAGGGTTTGTGTGAAGTGATGGATGTCTAGGCCTGTGTCTACAGACAGGATTTGTATGAAGTGATCATAATCATGTTGTGTCCACAGACAGGGTTTGTGTGAGGTGAGCATAATCATGTTGTGTGTCCACAGACAGGGTTTGTGTGAGGTGATCATAATCATGTTGTGTCCACAGACAGGGTTTGTGTGAGGTGATCATAGTCATGTTCTGTGTCCACAGACAGTGTTTGTGTGAGGTGATCATAGTCATGTTCTGTGTCCACAGACAGGGTTTGTGTGAGGTGATCATAATCATGTTCTGTGTCCACAGACAGGGTTTGTGTGAGGTGATCATAATCATGTTGTGTCCACAGACAGGGTTTGTGTGAGGTGATCATAGTCATGTTCTGTGTCCACAGACAGGGTTTGTGTGAGGTGATCATAATCATGTTGTGTCCACAGACAGGGTTTGTGTGAGGTGATCATAGTCATGTTCTGTGTCCACAGACAGGGTTTGTGTGAGGTGATCATAATCATGTTCTGTGTCCACAGACAGGGTTTGTGTGAGGTGATCATAGTCATGTTCTGTGTCCACAGACAGGGTTTGTGTGAGGTGATCATAGTCATGTTGTGTGTCCACAGACATGTTCTGTGTCCACAGACAGGGTTTGTGTGAGGTGATCATAAGTCATGTTCTGTGTCCACAGACAGGGTTTGTGTGAGGTGATCATAATCATGTTCTGTGTCCACAGACAGGGTTTGTGTGAGGTGATCATAATCATTTTGTGTCCACAGACAGGGTTTGTGTGAGGTGATCGTTCTGTGTCCACAGACAGGGTTTGTGTGAGGTGATCATAGTCATGTTCTGTGTCCACAGACAGGGTTTGTGTGAGGTGATCATAATCATGTTGTGTCCACAGACAGGGTTTGTATGAAGTGATCATAATCATGTTGTGTCCACAGACAGGGTTTGTGTGAGGTGATCATAATCATGTTCTGTGTCCACAGACAGGGTTTGTGTGAGGTGATCATAGTCATGTTGTGTGTCCACAGACAGGGTTTGTGTGAGGTGATCATAATCATGTTCTGTGTCCACAGACAGGGTTTGTGTGAGGTGATCATAGTCATGTTCTGTGTCCACAGACAGGGTTTGTGTGAGGTGATCATAATCATGTTGTGTCCACAGACAGGGTTTGTGTGAGGTGATCATAATCATGTTCTGTGTCCACAGACAGGGTTTGTGTGAGGTGATCATAGTCATGTTCTGTGTCCACAGACAGGGTTTGTGTGAGGTGATCATAGTCATGTTCTGTGTCCACAGACAGGGTTTGTGTGAGGTGATCATAATCATGTTCTGTGTCCACAGACAGGGTTTGTGTGAGGTGATCATAATCATGTTCTGTGTCCACAGACAGGGTTTGTGTGAGGTGATCATAGTCATGTTCTGTGTCCACAGACAGGGTTTGTGTGAGGTGATCATAATCATGTTCTGTGTCCACAGACAGGGTTTGTGTGAGGTGATCATAATCATGTTGTGTCCACAGACAGGGTTTGTGTGAGGTGATCATAGTCATGTTCTGTGTCCACAGACAGGGTTTGTGTGAGGTGATCATAATCATGTTGTGTCCACAGACAGGGTTTGTGTGAGGTGATCATAGTCATGTTCTGTGTCCACAGACAGGATTTGTGTGAGGTGATCATAATCATGTTCTGTGTCCACAGACAGGGTTTGTGTGAGGTGATGGATGTCTAGGCCTGTGTCTACAGACAGGGCTTGTGTGAGGTGATGGATGTCTAGGCCTGTGTCCACAGACAGGCTTTGTGTGAGGTGATCATAATCATGTTCTGTGACCACAGACAGGGTTTGTGTGAGGTGATCATAGTCATGTTCTGTGTCCACAGACAGGGTTTGTGTGAGGTGATCATAGTCATGTTCTGTGTCCACAGACAGAGTTTGTGTGAGGTGATCATAGTCATGTTCTGTGTCCACAGACAGGGTTTGTGTGAGGTGATCATAATCATGTTCTGTGTCCACAGACAGGGTTTGTGTGAGGTGATGGATGTGTAGGCCTGTGTCTACAGACAGGGTATGTGTGAGGTAATCAAAATTCCATCCCAGTCAATAGTCCTTGTTTGTGTTAGATGATCCTTGCCAAGCTCTGTGTCTACAGTCTATGTATGTTTGTATTATGCCATGAAAATGAGTGAAAGGCCTGTGTTTAGTCTATATTGGCTTGTGTTAGGCAACGATGATAAATGGAAAGCCTGTGGTTA